ACGACACGAGAGCCGTGACGACGACCAAGACGACGCTGACGATGTTTCTACCGAGAAACTGCAGCAGCTGCGCGAAGGCGCTGGCTACGGTGCCGCTCATTGTCGCCACACGTGCGCTGACAGCCTAGTAACACACACGGATGCGCGTCCTGTCACGGACGAACAGGATGAGATTGGATGGGATGGGATGCGATGGAAGAGAATCGGATAGAATAAGGTAGGATACGGTATATTACCTTTGAATAAGCCTAGGTTGAGGGAGGTTAGCGTTGGATAGGAAATAGTATAAACTAGGAGCTTGCTGGTGTTTCCGTGCTGTCACACTGCTTGTTATAAATAAACTGGAAATGAACTATTATTCTATCAGCCGACAGCGACGTGATAGGGACGATGCAATGACCCTGGCTCCTTTGTGCGCGTAGGGATATACAAATGGTAAGCGCGTCATTCTAGGACATTTCAAGATTCACATTCAGCCAATGACAAAGAGTGTTGGTGATGACGTTTACTACGTCACGTTCATTCGCGTTGAGGTATTTCATCTGTATGTCACACTATATCCTTTTATGCAAATTGCACTTCGAGCAAATACCGCCAATATGGCCGACTTCGGTTTTTGATGACGTCACATGCAAGGGGGTCTATATTGTAACGATTTTGGCTTCTTGGTATATTTTGTGGGATGTAATTATACATGTACGATATGTGTATATACACATATATATATCGTGTATATACTGTGGGCGCGTAAAGCTTGACGCAACCTTGACGTGGAGATGCAGCTTCAGCTTCATCGAATCCTCCTTGATTCACCGAGTCATCCTTGAGCTTCCGTCGTCGTGAGCACGTGCACGTTTCGTGTGCCCTCTATGCTACATGATATACCACGGCTAACGGGTATATAAGGAGGCATATGACAGTTGTCAAGCACTCGACTCAGCGTCAGAGCCACTGTCAGAGTCACCTGACGCTACACTCACGCCAGAGTTAGCGATAGTCAGCCAGAGAGGGAGGAAGAGGCAAGACGCTCAGGACCACTGGCACCACGAGCTTCGTACAGCGTAAGACCATTGAACTATCCTGTATGATGACTGTTGTATTGTGATTGCTGGCGTCAAGTAAAGATGCTAGCATTCTAACCAGGCACTCGATCAGTATTACTTGGTGCAAGTGCTTACTCAATGATAGAATACATAAGTAACAAGCATACATGATCGATTATTCTGATGTTTGCCGTCCGAGATATCCGAAGTTACCGAATTTAAACGAGAGAGAAATCTGGAAAACGCAATGTACTCAACGACTATAACACAAAATAAACAAAATCAAACTTGAGTTTTTCTCTACTTCTGATATAACTTATATTATATGTCGCGGGTTTTTCGAATATTGGCACAAACCGCTTTCCATGCCGCAGGTGCGTGCGCGGGTACGTGTGCGGGTACGTGTACTTGTACCCGCACGTGTACGTTTTTGTATATGGGTATTTGCATGTAGATGTGATGTGCATGTGCATGTGTGTGTATATGTGTATGCGAGTATATGTGCATATGTCTGTGTATAACATACATACATAATCATATTTATGTAAGTATTATGGAGAATATATAAAATAGAATAGCGCATAAGCACATAAAACGTCAATTGTTAATTTGTTATTATGATAATATTATTTTATTTTATTTAATACAAATTAAAACATGGTAATTAAATTAATGTAATAACTATTTTGCCTATTTTTGTGATGATTTCCTGCATTAAACCTAAAGAGATAAAATCATTACAAATTGCAAGATAGTTCAATTACGCATTTTAACGTTTCTCACAGAAATTAAATTGATGCCTCAATTTAATCAGTTTGAAATGAAAAATGAACGTTTAATTGCCACCAAACTTAAAGAGAAAACATTACTAAGAATTACAAAATTATTGAATTTCGCTCTCTAATGTTTCGGTTTCGGTGTTATTCAATGCCATAGCCTTCGACAAGCAAATAATGCAGCAATTTCTTAGAGATCTCATTGGTAAAAAAAACTCAAAAATTTACATAGACATACATTGATTTGCTTATTTATTCGGACACCTTTGAGGAACACATTACATAGCCACTGTTTGCATGCCATCGCTGCTGTTTACTTACAAGTTAACAGGTAGCAACACACCGTTTAATTACAGACTAGAAACGTAAGATAACGCAGTTCAATCGTAGATAAACAGGTAGATAAACAGGTAGGTTAACAGGTAGGTTAGCACAGGTTAATTACAAGCTGAAACACAAGATAACGCAGTTTATTCATAGATAACAAGGTAGATTAACACAGGTTAATTACAGGCTGAAACACAAGATGACTCAGTATATTCATAAGTAACAAGTTAGGACAACAGAGTTTAATAGTAGGATTACACGTAAGATAATGTCGTTTATTCATAGGTAACAAGTTAGGATAACAGAGTTTAATAATAGGATGACACGTAAGATAACGCAGTTTATTCATAGATAAACAGGTAGGTTAACACAGGTTAATCACAGGCTGAAACATAAGATAACGCAGTTTACTCACAAGTAACAAGTTAGGATAACAGAGTTTAATAATAGGATGACACGTAAGATAACGTTGTTTATTCATAGATAACAAGTTAGGACAACATAGTTTATAATAGGATGACACGTAAGATAACGTTGTTTATTCATAGGTAACAAGTTAGGATAACATAGTTTATAATAGGATGACACGTAAGATAACGTCGTTTATTCATAGGTAACAAGTTAGGACAACCGAGTTTAATAATAGGATGACACGTAAGATAACGTTGTTTATTTATAAGTAACAAGTTAGGATAACAGAGT